GAAAGAAAGAAAAGGAAGGCAGGAAGGAAGGAAGGAAGGAAGGAAGGAAGGAAGGAAGGAAGGAAGCGAGGGAGGGAAAAGAGACAAGAAAAGAAAGAAAGAAAGAAAGAAAGAAAGAAAGAAAGAAAGAAAGAAAGAAAGAAAGAAAGAAAGAAAGAAAGAAAGAAAGAAAGAAAGAAAAGGAAACAATAAAACCTAGTTGAATTATTTTAAAAAATGGAGAGCAGGGATGAGGGGGACTGATGGAGTAGGTGCATTGATCGGTACATTTTCATGGAAATGTTACAAATGAATCCTTGTACAATAGTGTGTGCTAATAAATATTGCTTAAATTGTATTAAGTGGTTGTACAGGAGGATACAATTCCATCCATGAGATTATACATACAATGCATAAGATCAAGGTCCCATGTTTCAGAAAGGCCCATCATGCAGAGAGAAGGCATCCGTACAGATTCTATGGACAGGAGACTTGAATGCGCCTCAAAGTGACATCCAATGTGTCAAGTGGGGAAATGCCTATTCCCCCGAGTGATAAAGCTAGTTCTGTATCAACCTCCCTAGCAATGATGACCCTGTGGGCCTGACAGAAAGTGGAGAAGAAGAGAAAGCACCTAGTGGTGATGCAGAGATGTAACATGACCTGCTGAAGACAGCTCAAGATGACTAAGAACATCTCACAGTGACAATAACATGACTGATCCATTTCTACAGACATTGTACAAGTCCTTCCTTCCTGGAGGGTCAGCCACTGCAAGTCATCCATCACTGGGAGGTCAATAAGCCCAATGATACACTCAAGGACCTGAGGACCACACAGAAGTCATGGGCAGCCATCTCTACTCTGACTCAAACTATGCCCAACACACCAACATTTTTACTCTTCTTTCCTTTCTTTGTTCTCTGTGAGTGTCTTTTATCCAACAGAAACGCAGATGCTGGTGGTAGTAATGTTCTGTGTAAGTTATGCAAACCAGGATGTGTAGATTCAGAAACATTCTCTCTTATGAAGAAGTGAAATTTAAAAATAACTCAGGAGGGGATGGGAAGGTGCTCCGTGGTAGAGTGCTTGCCTTGCATACATGAGGCCCTGGATTCTATTCCTCAGCACTACATAAACAGAAAAAGCTGGAAGTGGCACTGTGGCTCAAGTGGTAGAGCGCTAGCCTTGAGCTGAAGAGCTGAGGGACAGCGCCCAACTCCAGAATTCAACCCCCATGACTGACAAAACAAACAAGCAAAACAAAACCTTAGGTGTTTGGAATGTAGAAGATATAATAAATGATGATTAATGCCTCACTAGAGGCCACTTAGCCCTCCCTGAAACAGCAACATTCTCCATAACCACTCATAACACTGAATCGAGAGAAACATATGCCCTTCACAGCTCAGCTCAGAATGTGTTTCAAATCACTCTTCAGTCTCCCCTACTCCTTGGAAAAGCCTCTATTTGGTATCAGCTGCCCTGGCTCTGCTCTTTACTTTTTAAATCTATGTATAATGAAGATAAGTAGTATGATGTCAAAGGTAGAATGGGAAGTAGAGTGGAGTGAAATCCATGTCTACCTGAATTTTGGGAAGGTAACCTTAGAACCAGGTAATTTGCCAACACCTCCATCAGGCTCAGAATATGATCAGACTGAGAGAGAATACATTTCCACTGCTTAAGCCTGCCTGTTTCTATTTAACTGTGACAGTAGCCTAGGAAATGAATGTAGGAAGTGAATGCCTACAGTTCACCAATGTAGCAGGAGGGTAGACACCAGAAAATAAAAGTCATCTTCTTCATGATATGTATAGATCATGTTCCTCCCTTCCTTGTTCATGAACTTTCCTGGGTAGTTTTCCACTGATATTAAACAGTTCCGCGTTGCTCCTTGTAGTAGCATTCAGAAGCAAAAGAAAAAAGACAATGGACTGAACCAATGAGCAGACCTTATAGAGCAGAATTAGAGAGAAGGAAAATGGTGGGACGTGCAAAAGGGCCACTTCTGAGAATCAGTACAAGTCTAATCTTCCCAGAGGAAGTGGGCACCACAGGAATTCCTCTCTGTAAATCCTTTGAATTGTTCTAGAAGGTAGTTCAATGTATAGCAGGAGGTGGCTTGCCTATGTGCACATTCATGGAGAAGATAGACTCTTGCTTTTTGCTATTTCCTCATCAGAATCATCTGCCTTCCTCATTCCTTCATTGTTTACTTTCTCAGCTTTATGTCTTCAAAGAACAGGTGAGGAATGTTCACCTTACTTGCTAGTAATTGGTAGTGACAGAAAAATACAAACATAGCAATGGAACACCCCAAACTGTAATACATTTCACAACTTTTACATGGGGTTAATCTCGCTATAATTTCAACAGTCAGAAAGTTAATTTTCATTTATATTTATCAACTATTTACTGAGCCACTTGATGTGAGGAATCTTTTTGCACTTTTCTTAATTTCTTTTTCTAAATGGACAAAAATTGTAAGTACTTTTTTTGTACAACATGTTATTTTGAAAACAAGTATATACTATGGAACAGAAAAATGGAGCTAGTTACTATATATGTTATGTCAGGCTTAGCATTTTTGATGGGGAGAGCTTTTAACACTAACAATTATGCAATTATCACTGGGGAGAATAGTCACTATTTTATAAAATAGGGATGCGAACTTATTTCTTCTTGCTATGCACTACAATAGATTGTTGATACAGGGATATGGATCCAAGGAGACCACCACTGAAGAAGAAATGCTGCTTCTAGGATATATAGAATTCAGTACTCTAAGCTTCCTCAAAGGTACTTATCATGCACCAAAACGTGAAACAGCACAGAATTGGCTATACCACGGTCACAAAATTCCTATTACACACATTAATACTGCTCACTAAAAGCTAGACTTTATTTATGTCCCTTATCACAATTACTGTGGACACTTTTTTTTTTCATAGTTTTTCAAATTTCTCGTAAGTATTTTATTCTCTATTTCTGTGAACTCAACTAAGATGGTACAGTACTTATCATTCTATGCGTGGCTTATGCCATGAAACATATCTTAGTGATTCATCCATAATGTCAAGAATGAATTTCCTTCTCTGTACAGGTTGTATAGTATTCCATTGCATGATAGCACATTTTTTTCCTCCATTTATCTTGGAAATTGTGAACAGAATGGCAGTAGCTGTGGCAGGGGAGATGTCTCTTGGACATCCTCACTTAACTTCCTTCTGGTAGACACCCAGTAGCATAATTGCTGGATCATACAGTAACTTTATTTTGGTGCTTTGAGACACCTCCGGGCCATTCATAAGTCATTGAGTTGAACATCAGTTTTTCTGTCTCCAGAATTGCAAGGATTGTATCAGGCTGTGTTCCAGCTGTAAATATCAGGTTGGCAGGCATTTCGAGCATGTTAGGGTCCCACAGGCATGTTACTAATACACAAGAAGATTAGCTTCTTTCCATGCTGACCCTGCCCTCACTACTGCTGGCGGTCAGGACCCAGCACAGACAAAAAGGAACGTGAGGGGACCAGGGGACTGCCTCACCTGGCTGGTATGGCAGAGGTTACACATATTTGTACTGAACGATTTGTCTAGTGGAGTTTTGAGAGAGGGATGGGGACTGGAGAGAATGACATGACAGGTCAACCCCAGAAGCAGGTGGGACATGCTAAATGAGACTGACACCATCATCTGTGTGGGAAATGGAGATGTACTCTGTAGGAAGAAAGGAGCTAGACAGCAGCCAAAGGGAAAAAAAAATTAGATCGATATCTTTCTTGTTTCACATTAAGTAAAAATGTAAAAATAAGCATTTTCCTTTCTAATCATTTTCTATCATGCATAGAGCGCTCACTTTAATTTTCAAGTCCGTTTACTTCATTTCTGGGAACCATCTAAGCTTTGAATAGCGTCCATCTAGCAGGATTGCTAACTGTACACGTGATGTGTCTCGATTCCCTTCTCTCTTCCTTTGTCCTGCCAATTACAAATCCCCTTGATATTTGAGCTAAAACGCAGAGCCAAAACTTCAGGAGTTTATTTTTTATTTTTTAATGTATCTCCACCTCTCAGTGAATAAATTATATCTGTAAAGACAGTTTTCCAGCTTCACACAGAACAGCAGAAACTGTACTACTTACTTCTAAGCGAAAGTATGTTTCTACTGCTTAGATATTCCCCTAATCATAGCCAAAATGACTAATCTATCAGAATATCTTTTTCCCTATGTCAGTACAAGGGCTTGAACTTAGGGCCTCATATTTTCTTAGCTTGCTTGCTCATGGCTGGAGCTCTACCCCTTGAGCCATGTATTCAGCCCAGCTTTTTTGTTGGTTAATTTGAGATGGACTTTTCTGACTTTGGACCATGATCCTCCAGGTCTCAGTGTCCTGAGTAGGTGGAATTACTGGAGTCAGCCCACTGCCAATCAGCCCAGAATATCTTTTAATAGTGACTAGATGATTCAGAAAGGCTTCGCTGTTGTCATTGTTATCAGTCACAATAAAACTATATTCTCATAGCATGGTGGAGGTTCTAGACATGGTTCCAGCATATTTTTATATCCCCAACATCAGCACAAAACCCACCACCTACTAGAGACTCAATAGAAACGTGTTTCAAAAGCAAGTGAAGACTGAGAAAACACCTGTGCAAGTCAGAACCAGATCATCCCTCCTTCCCAAGATGCATTGCTCCCCAGGCTCAGACAGAAATCCGTACACCAACAGGCAGATCAAAGTAACTCCAACTAAACAGAGGCCTATACCTATGTGATAAGAGGTCACCAAAGGCAAGCATGCTGACCAAATTCTACCAACAAGAGATTTGTCTGCCAGAAAGTGGACCAGGAGCTCAGCTCCCTCCCCAGGGGATCTCTTTTGTGTAACAATGGGCCCTGGGAGCAAAGTCCCAGAAGCCAGCTCTTCTCCTTCACTTATCCCCACAGGCCTCCCTCCTCACTGGGGGCAGAGGCCCTGCTGCTGCAGTGCCTGCTGACCAGTGCATCTGTCTTACCTCGGCAGCAGGGATGCCCTCAGGTGGACGGCAATGGAGCACGATCATGCCTTCAATAGGAACCTCCCTGCCTTGTGGATCTTGCTCGAAATTTTTCCGCAAATCTGCAAAGAAGCACAAAACACAAGACATGTGATATTTGGTTCTAGGATCCTGTAGTTCCTCTTAGGTCCAAAACACAGGAAGTCAGTGAGCTTCATGTCACAGTTTAGATGCAAACAAATGAGTGAATTGTAGCAGGAGATCCAAACTCACAGAATCACTTATTTTTTTTAAAAAAAGATGCTGTACAGAGGGGTTACAGCTACATGAGTAAGGTAATGAGTGCATTTCTTGTCAATAATTTGTTCTAAATAGTCCCAAACCTGTTTGAAATATACCTTAACGAAACGAATCCTAACATTTTCTATTAATGTAAAGGATGAAAAATCAAATATACTGAGGGAGTAGGGCAAAGGAAACGCCTTTATTCCTCCATAGGTCCTGGCTAGCTTCATCTGCTTAGCATCTGATGGAATGCTAGGTCTAATAAATTGTCATCCGGAGCTATTAATGTAGTTGAAATGTTCATGGCTTTTCCCTTCACTACAGAGTACATGATTAATCTATAACCTCTGTCATTCTCTTAACCCTCAAGGGGGCTCAAGAAGATGGTAATAGAATGAGATTACCTATTAGTCCTTCCCTTTGTAACAAGGGAGACAGGCCCACATCCAACCACAACAAAATCTATAACCTATCCAACCAAATACATAATTAGACAATACAATGTCCTCTGGTCACACAACATGGCTGAGTGCTCGGGTAGTGCCCTTCACAAAGGACTCAAGGCACTTTGCAAACAAGATGCACTGTTAACCTTTTACACATGGAAGCCTGACACTTGGAGAGGTTAATTGTTTTGCCAGTGGTCATAATAAGCATCCATACAGGCGAGAGAAAAGAAAATTCACTAAGCTCTCTGACACCCCACTTGATTGCCAACTAGCCAAGCAGTTTTAGGGAGAAGGACACACAGGGATGAGAGAGAGAGAGAGAGAGAGAGAGAGAGAGAGAGAGAGAGAGAGAGAGAGAGAGAAGGAGGGGTAGGGCAGCAAAGGAGGAAGGGAGAAGGGGAGGAGATCTTCATTTGAGCATCTGATCATTTACAAAGGGGGATACAAATTAAATGAAGGGAGATAGTCTTTGGTCTTACAAAAGTGTTAGAATAATATTGTGATAATCTTGGCACACAAGGTAATTCTCACTGTCACCGGGATACAAGAGCCCGGACAGGTTGTTTACAAGTCTTCCTCACTTCAAAAGATTTGCCCTCCCTTCCTGACAATGTATTTCCCTTCAAATTGAGTATCTCAAATTACAAGCGGTGGATTTATTGATTTAATTTTCTTCAGTGCTTACAATCACATGAAATATGTCCTCTGTAAAAGAGCAGAGCTCCAGAATCAGTTACATCTTTATAAATTGTATAAATACATTAAACTTGCTTTTAGCAAGTCAAAAACACTCAGTGAATAACCGAGCACAGCCATTCACAGATGCTGATTCCTCTGAAGTTTACTTTTAATGTTTTCCCTCCCAGAGGCAAACTAGAGTCTTTTTTCGGTGGCACTGGTTTACATTCACAAGGCCTCCCTAGGAGACTGACAGCAAAAGGACTGGAATCTCAGGCAGGTGGCAGGATCCATCCACCCATTTCTCCGCTCTCTCCAAGTGAGGTCTGCATATTGCCCCATTCTCTGACCCGGAATGTCTGTCTCTAGCGATGCCACACACATCACACAAGTGACAACCAACCTGTGTCAATGACCCAAACTTCCTCCTGTGTCTCCTGCACAGAGGCAAGAAGACCTCAGGGACCCTGAGATTTACCCTCAAGGCCTCAAGTCACACAACCATGAATATCAGTTCTACTAAAGTGAAGAGCTGTGTTCTTCAAGTCCTATTTGGTGTTTTGTGTTTGTTTTTTTAATTGTGAAAATACCGTACAGAGGGGTTACAATTACATGAGCATGGTAATGAGTACATTTCTTATCAAGCATTGTAGCCTCCTCTTTTGTTTCCCCTTCCCACCCCTTCCCATTCCCCCCCATCTCCACCCGCCCCCCCTGCATCCCATTCCCCTGCCCTCCCATTTCTTTGGCTGCTTTGTTTCTAAGGAAATCTCACCCTGTGTGGCTGAATGAGGATGGCAGTTTTGACACCACCAAAGAATCTGTTTTCAGCCAGGTGAGGTTTAAGAATCTAACAGCAGAACTTTCTATATTTCTGCTTTCTAATTCTATTTCCTTTCTTTGCTCAGTACAAATGGAAAAGTAATAAGTGCTTCATTTGTGGTTACTTCACACTACTACATTGTCGGGTGAAAAAGACTAGAGTGAATCATTTTCCTTCCCACTTCCAGCACTTTAGTGAAACAGATACTTTCATTCATTATATATATGTGAAAAGGAAAGCTCTGGCCAGGGGCTGGTGAGCTGGGAGCTTACACCTTCACACCTGTAATCATAACGACTCAAGGGCTCAGATTTGAGGATCACAGTTAGAAGAGAGACTAGGCAGGAAAACCTTACATTTCTTTTTTCCAAGTAACTAGCCCAAAGCCCAAAGTGGAGATGTAATTCAAATGGTAGAGCACCAGCCTTGAGTTAAAAACTAAGGTCCAGCACCCAGGCTTTGAGCTACCCCCCCCCCCCATATGGACACTGGGACTGGGAAAGTATGTTACCTATTAACATGACACCTATTGGATTTTCAAGCGCTCTCATGCATAAAGGGTCAGATGCAAGGATGGACTCAGATGACCTGCTACCCCATCACCCATACCTTGGATTCCCTGGAGAGTCCTAATAGGAAGAACATCATCATAGCTCATTGTACAGGTTAGAAGAAAACCCAGCCCTGTCAGGAGCACTGGACTAGTGGTAGGGGAGAGCTAATGCAGAAGGTGAAGAAACATGAATGTGGTAAAAGTATTTTATGCTCATGTATGAAAGCCGAACAACAAAACCTGTTGAAATGGTTTTAAGAAGTGGAGAGAAAGCATGAGGGAAAGAGGTGTCAGGGGGTGAGTTTGATGGAAATGACAATAAAAAACCCTTTAAAATGATTTGGGTTAGTAGAAAAGCATGCTGGGAATGACAGCCTATAAAGCTTGCAGATGGCAGTGTAAACTGCCATACCAAAACTTACCTGACAAGAACATGGGGGTTGGGAGCTACTAAAGAATGAAGACCTAAGAGAGACAAAAATGAGGAAAAGACGGGACAATAAATCTTTGGTGTCTCAACCTTTTAGGAAATAGAAGGGAGTTCAACCAATCAGTAATCTTAGACGATTCCAATTCTCTTTATTTAACTCCAGGCCAATCTCTACAAGGAAGAAAATGGCCAAGATGACAGAGAAGGGTTGACGTTCTCTCCCCATGACAGGTCAATGCCATGTACTCTTTTTCTGCCATAGTTCTTTCCCAGTAAACTTTCCAATCACGCTGCTCACATCTTGTCTGAATTATTCTTTTGGCAGATGCAAGAGCCAAGGTTTAGCTGCCCCAAACTTTCTGGTAAGAATTTGTTGCAATGGCCAGGAAGTTAAGAGATTAACTATACCTTTTTTAATGGACTCACCCAAATATAAGAGTATAAGTGATATATGCTATTAAAATGTTTCTTAAAAGGCTGAATTCATTAAAAAAAATCCCTCAGGATTAAAGGCCATGCAGAAGGGTCAGTAAAGGAGCAGGGTGCCACACATCTGTGTGACCTGCCCTGATCGAACCTCAGGGACCACTCTAAGTGAAAGTCAGGAATCTGCAAGTCCTGTGGTATGACTGGAACTACTGCCTGACAGAGAAGTCGAAGGACAGTGAATCTGTGAAAAGAGGGTAAACAGACAGATTCCAGCTTGTTAAAGAACAGATTCTAAGTTATGGAAACAGTTCTCAGACACAGGTGGATGCCGCTGGCTCTACCTGTGGTTTTCACCACAGGTGTTCAAACCTGATTTGTTTCTCCATAAACAATATTTCACCTATGTTCCTTCCAAGGTCTCAATGATGGGCAGAGATAGGAGCCTACACAATTTCTAATAGTAGGGAAAGCATATGGATATACCAAAAAGGAAAACATGACAAAATAAAGGACAAAACATGCAAGTGTAATTGAATGTTTTTCTTTAAGAAGCCAAGAAGCACGTACCATCTTTTCTAATAATTTTGAATTCAGATTCTTTAGTCAAAAGGAAACAACTGAGAAGTTAGAATAGGAATTGTGAATTGGATAACATCTAAGATCAAGAAACTGCCACTACTAAGAAGAAAACATAGCTACTGAGCTAGAAACACATGCATATCAAGGTTAGGGATAAACACCCACAGGCGGTATACTGAAGAGTACAGGAAACAGAATCACAAAATAAAAGGCAGATCCGTTGGAATGCAGCCAGAAAAACAAACAAATAGAAAGTATATCAGGTGGGCTGGGAAGGTGGCTCAGTGGTAGAGCGCTTGCCTTGCATGCATGAGGCCCTGAGTTCGATTCCTCAGCACCACATAAGCAGAAAAAAAAAGCCAGAAGTGGCGCTGTGGCTCAAGTGGTAGAGCACTAGACTTGAGGTAAAGAGCTGAGGGACAGCACCCAGGCCCAGAGTTCAGGCCCCACGACTAGACCCCCCCCCCCCAAAAAAAAAATAAAAAATAGAAATAAAAAGATAAAAAAATAAAAAAGAAAGTTTATCAGGTGGTTTACCAGAAAACATTAGTATCAAAGAATGAATGATTAAAAAGAAAAAGAGAAGAGGGGGAAGCATATCACATTACTAGAGATGGAAATGAAAAGACAGGAGGAGGAGGAGGCTGGTGTTTTAAACTTGAAGCCTGAAGGCAGCTCAATGCCCATGGAGGGGCCTAAGCGGTTGCTGCTGGCACCCCAGAGAGTTGGAAGGGTGACTAAAACGTTGGAGACCCAGACCTCTGAGGGGTAGCACTCACTAGCCTGGTAGTGGCATCTATAAAGGGCACTATGGAGCTGGTTCTGGGAGTACTTGAGAAAGAAGAGCCATTTAGAAAGATGTGGCAGTTGTCATCTGCACCATGAAGAAATTCTGC